TACTAAACATCAGATAAGTCGTAAACATATAAACACTTTAACTTGTGAACCTTTAAAATACTTAAGTATATAAATTGAAAAGTTTCTATGAAATTTTTCGATAGATACAAATTTATAACACTTTATAGAGTAATTTTTAACTAAGCAGTATTAGTTTATATTTCCAAGTGGGAAAATAATTAACGACGATCTGAAACGATTACGAAAAATGGGACGTAAAGTCTATTCAGATACTGAATCAGTTAGAAGCAAGGTGGGACTTCTCGCATACGTGCATGGGATTAGGTTACCACACCACATCATTACAACGCGGTACCAGACGATTAGAAGTAGTAACAGCATCATCGGCATCCAAAATGCGATTCAAGAAGAAAATATAGATTAGTGGGATAAAAAGCAAATTTATAAGGTAATTTAGAAATTTATGATCTACGCGGAGACATAAAGTGAATGCACCAGTGCCACTTTAAGTGATTCTGAGCCATGTCACTCAAAGCATCTAACCACTTCTCATGAAATTCATGAGGATTCTAATCAGATGGCTTGCACCTTCTAACATGGTCCAATTTAACAGTCATTGAATTCGTAAACCAATGCTACATGTTAACTTAGCAGCACTTGTTTTATTGCAACATACTCCTACACCAGATATCCTAGTGTGCTGAGGTACGAAGTGGTTGAGGACACGTAATAAAAGTCCAAAACACCTTCGTCGACGAAGATTCATTGACCCACTAACCTATTTGGCATCTTTACCTAGTACTGGTGTGTAAGCTCATCATTGTCGACTCTTTGGCCTCAATATACGCTACAAATGCTTCAAAATTATCTGCGATCAAAAGATAATAGCTTAGGAATATCCTCTGTTTATGAAAAAATATATTCCAAAGCTATGAACCAAAACATAGTAAATTGGTGTGCAGTATACGCGTCAATTGCTAGTCTTAAGTGATGTAATTCCTCGAAATTTTCATTAATTTCTTCAATTAAAGATAAACAATTTAAAGAAAAAGATTTGTAAAGTAATGATACTTTATATCTTATAACTTATTGATATTTATTAATATTTAGTTTATAACATTTCAACATACTAGAAGTAATAATTACCAGTGTTAAGGTTAGATAGCTAGCCACTGGTAATATGAATGACATAAATTGTTAATAGTTGTCAATGAAGAGCGTGTATTACCAAAAAAACGCGTTGAATATTTAAAATTTATCATTAGGATTAAAATAATTGTTCGAAGCTTCTTAAAATGCTAAACATTATTGTCGGTTATAAACATGTGATTATGATGATAATTGTATTATTTACTATCTGTTAACAAAAAAATCAAGATTATAACAAATAGAAACTGCTGTTCTCTTTTTTTAATCAACTACATACGTGTAAACATAATTTTGAAAAAAAGGAAATGTGAAGTTAGTGAATCCCCGCAACGCAATAATACTTTACCTATGTCGCAACTATCACTAACCTAAGTAACAACACTACGTAGACTAGTAGGCAGTTACATAATAAATCCATTTCATACTTTTATAGCCAGCAAAATTTATAATAATAAATAAGACAAGAAGAATAGTTGCTTAAAAATCTTAATTTACAGATCTTGGACAATACATATATATATATATATATATATATATATATGCATGTGATGCATTCTGGAAGCTGATCACATGATTTTAAGTGGAGTAATTCACTACAGTGCTAGTGCAAACACACATTCCTTTCAAAATTTTATAATCAGTTTATGAAGGTTAAAAATTTCTTTACCCCTTCTTTAGAAGTAAAAAGTAAAACAACACAGCGGGCATTCTCTCCTCTTTTCCTCCTAGTTTTTTTTAAAAAACAAAATTAAAATTCATCTACGATTCAATCGTTCATCTAATGGACAATTTACGTGTTTTGAACAGCTGTGAAAATTTCACCATTTTATATCTAAATATATACATTGCAACATAAAACAGGACAATGCAATACAAACTACTGTTATATATATATATATATATATATATATATATATATATATATATATATATATATATATATATATATATATGTAAAGAAAATAAAATGATGTTGATAGAACGATCTACTAATTTTCAAATAAAAACAGCACTATTTTAATCACAATGTATTAGATTAAAAACAGGTATCTTTTCCCTCTATAAGGATATTTTTGTTTTCGTTAAGCTAGTATAAACTAATATTAAGACTTTAATCGTTATATTAATAGTGTTTTGAATTTACAGATTCACTATTCAACACAAATCTATTTACTTAATATTATTGTGTAGTTGTTAAAATGACTTCAATTAGGCTCATCTGCTTTCTGGAACCTAATAGGAATGAGATATCTGGAACTATTTTAAAACAGTAAGCTTTTTGCAGAATTCAATGTGATATCTTCCCACTAAGAAGATTAAAGATGTTGTAAAGAAGGTGCTCTGAAAAACGAAATAAATTTGTATATAAACAAATAGACAGCTTCATCAACTAGATCTAAATGATTTAAATACCAAAATTTGAACGTATATATTCATATTACACACATGTCAATTCTTCATATCTGATAGATTTAAAAAAAACATTTTAAATATAAGATAAAGCAAGCATAAGCATAGCTTAGTTTTTAAAAAATGCCGGTACATTACACAGTTTTGATAAACTTTATCCTATCTTTGTATTATTTAAACTTATCAAGGGAGCTATTTTGAAAACGCTGCTTAATTTATACTCGCACGATTAAAAAACCATTAAAAATTATTAATTGCCACAGAATTTAAAAGATTTCATTTCAAAATCATCAATCCAAGTAGCGTAAACTAATTAAGACAGAATAAATCAGAGTCAAGTTTGTAGTTCAGACAATCATAGATCAATCACTAGTTACGTCTTTAAACATTTTTGTATTTGCATTAAAAAAATATGAATATGTTAATTAGTTCACATGAAATACCGAAGAGTAAGGAGCCTGAAACAAACTTAGAGATTGGAAGTGAGCGGATTTCTCTTACTATAATTTGCTTTCGGTTACTTTGATAATCCGATTTAACAGAACATTTTTAGGAGTCTGAAAATAAGAAATGTCATAACTTACAAGAAATATTACCGATCCTGCCGATTATACAAATACAAAATCGCTTTCACAATCATAATTGAATAAAAACCTAGTGTATTATACTCATCAACAAATTTAAGATGACTAACACGAACTAGGCAAATTATTAAAATTATCATCAGGAAATCTAGTCTATGTTACAGTTAAAATTTATTTCAATTCCGGTCGTACGTCTTTGAACGCTAATGACTGCATTGATAAACAGCAGTTCGAAACTGACATGAGAATCAGAAGTTAAAAAGAACTATTAAGAAATCCCCTTCACTAGAATTAACGCATACCATTAGTAGCACGTATTTTTTACGAAGAGGTGATGCCATTTCCTCACTTCGTTTGAATGTCAAAAGTACTCACAAAAGAGAAGTAATAGGCCAAAGGGGTTTAGATACATTACATCATGTAGAAGTCAGATATACCAGTTGGTATCTTAAGGCCAAAGTGATAAATTCAATGGAATCGCGCTACTAAAGCAATTGGACCGTGTAACTGGTAGGGTCATAGGCTATCTATTGTGACTTAAGTCAGTGAGAACAAACCTATACACAAATATAACTTCCATACATTAACTGATTCGGTTTTAGCAACTAAACCTTCCCACTTATTTCAGACTTCATTTGCATAGTAGATTTTGTCAGCAGTTAATAGGGTATACTACAATTGAATCACACTACAGATTATGCAAATCACCAAGACTACTTCTTTAAAGTTTGAAATGACCGAAAAATTTGTTCACTGATTAACACAAGCGTTCCTTCAAACTTAACACACTCACCTAAATATCTCATACACGTTTATGCAGATGGACATTAAAGAAATTGTAATTAAATGTAGCGTTATAACCCGATAAATTTGCAAGCGATTGTTTTAAAGAAATATACACAAGAAAACTGATTGTGAAAATAACACAAATTCATCGGAATACCAGAGATAACATGAATTTCAGTTTATTGCACCTGTTAGAGTGACCTACCGTTTCAGGTTCTTTGTAAAATCGAAAATTTGATGAAACATTACTACACTATGTTACGGCATAATACAATTTCGATTTTGCGTTTCTAACTGACTGTTTTGCTCATTTGAGGTACTTCTTAATACAATGTCTTACAAAATCTACACAAAAATATAACACAAACTACAAAAACCACACATTGTTATACTAGTGAAGCATTATACAACATGATGTATTGTTTTCTGAATTTGGTATTTATGAGATCATTTAGTCAGCCATTAATAAAACAGGCCCGATTAAATATCAAACTAAAGGGGATATTGACATCTTCCTATAGTTAACTAATCCTGAATTTCTGACGATAATAATAGTGATAATAAATAGTTTTAGTGATTTTTATTTTAACTGATAATTTGGCTAATAAATGCACCGGTGTGATCCCAGAGATAATTTTAATGAGTAAATTCAACAAGTAAACAAATACAAACATCATATTTACTGGATTTTGCATAACTATTACAATAGTTGGTTATTACTTACGTGTTGGAAGCAACTCAGATATATAGATTTATAAAAAGTAAATTAAACATGATCAAATTAAACCACTCGTACTTTCTCTTAATTATCTATCAGTATATTTATGTCAATTACTTTGACAGAAAACATTTTAAATGATTTTTTATTTCAGAAAATAAGGAAAATTCCAAGTATATTTCCAAATGAATATTGCAATATTTACACGCTACATGAAACTTGTAAATTTTTTGATAAATAGAGCCATTTAATAATTATTATCGATTTCAAATGATACTCCATTCTTTAAATATTCTGCAAACAATTCATTTGCAACAAAATACTTTTTAAAACCGTTAAGCATTAAAAATGGATTTTACGAATGCATTTTTAAAATATAATGATTATCCCACCTCATAGAAGTGTTCCATCAAATGAGCCTTCCAAAGTGGCCGATCAAGTCTCAAAGGTAGACTACTCAGTTCATTAAGAAGCACTTCCAAGTTAACCATCTTTGGGTTTGCCGAGTGCTTATCTTCCCACTTTGATCCATATGATCGTGATGGATTAATTTCTGATTTTGTCTGAATAGAAGACAATCGGACTACATGTTCTTCAAGTTGAAATGCCATACATTCTCTCCATGCATATCCAGTTGATAGATATGTTAGACATTGTGTCAAGCGCGATCTAGCATCCGAAGGTGGGATATATGAACTTTCACAGCGTCCCCTGCTAGTATCCGAACATCCTTTGTCTGTTAAACAAGAACCCCTTGGAGATGAAGCAACTGATGAACAGTCAAAAGGCCGAGAGAGTAAACGGTTACTGATCAACTCGCGCAAGCGTACTAATTTTAATCCCGGTGCACCAAATCTCAAGCATATAATCACTATAGGTGAATGACCTGAACAATACAAAGTAGCATAGTTAGTTCCATTCCAATCAAGTTCATATTTATATTCAAGAGCTGGAAGCCATCGAAGTTCAGCAGATGAAAGAGCTTTCAATGAGTTGCTATAACGATTTTCTAATTGTTTATCAGTAAAACAATGACATCTTTGATTGGAATTCAAGCTGACTGACAAACGTGACATTATTGATTCAATTATAGGATTTGTATTATCAGAAATAAGAAATCCTCCGCATTGACAACATGTGGTATATTGGAAGACATTAGCAATCCAGATGCCAGTACGTCTTACAAGGCAAGCAATCAGGCAAAATGGTAGAAATACAATAGAAAATATACTAGTAACCAATAGTGATAAACTTAAAAAGGCAACATTGGCAAGGCAGACATAAACAGGACTACGTTCAGTAGGATGAGCAATAGGAAGGAAAGCACTCGGGTTAACTGTCGATACACTTGGTTTTTCCTCACTTGATTCCACACTCCCTAAAATAATTAAATTTCAGAAAAGCATATTTAAAATACATTTTTAACAGTTACAGAGTAAAGCTTTTTGACTCTTATTTAAACATTTTAAACGAAATTGACTAGATAAAAATATTCTGTACCGTCTGACTAGACACTTATCAACATTTTCCAAAATATGACAGTAAAAATGATATGTTCATGCAAATCCATTGTATCAGATGTAAACCATAAGAAGACTATTTTAGTTAAAGATAGTGCACAATAATCTAGTGAGTAGAACCTAATGAGAATAAATACTCAGTGATGAACTTATGTTCTGTCATTTTTGCTGCCAATTAAAACACTTAATGAATGTGTCATTTGGAGCAAAAGATAGCATAAAACAATTATTAAGATATCTCTCAATCGCGATAATTACGATATAAATGAACCCAACATAATTTAACGGGAGAAACTTTCGTTAGTGTAAATGGTAATTAACTAAGTACAACTGTAATTAATAATAAAACATTTACGCGTCTCACTCATGTATAATAAATTTGCGTGGCATATTATTTTTGTGGAAAAACAGCAATTTCGTTAATTATAAATGTAGAATAGTCAACTTGAAATCTGTTTATTTCACTACAATATTCTTTGAGACCCTATTCACAATCAGCAAACATTCAAGTTTCAACATAGAAGTATCTAAAATTGTAAATCCATAAAGGTGTCAATAATATAGATAAGAATAACCGATAATCATATCAGCCTTCAACCAGAGTACTCAACATCTCAATATATAAACATAGATCCAATTTTATTTATTAGCATCTTCAGTACTTGTGTGTCAATGAAAGTTTTATGACAAGAACTACAATCTGACTAAGATATGAATGAAGGCTACTAACACTTAAATAACGTAACTAAGTAAAATGGTAAAAGTAAATCTAATAAAACCCTTATTACTCAGGTAACAACCCTCAGATGTAGTGGGCGACTTTTAATGATTGAAACAACTTGAATACTGAATATTTAGTTTATGATATATCGCAGAATGAATAGTCAAGTCACTTATTAAATCATAATTAATCCGAATAATTGGTTAAACTTAACCTGATATGCTCATTTTAAATTGTTTAATGTACAAATATTTTTCTGTAAATAGTTAAGATTTTTATTTAAACAAGTAGAATAGACAAGATAGATTTGGTGGGTTTAATTAACTATTTTGAGTAAACTGGTAACTAACGTATCGTTTTACAGGCCCACCATCCCTTGTTTGATCTAGCTAAGTAAACTGAAAGTTTCTTGCGGGAGTTTAATTGAATGGAATATAATGGGTAAAAAGTATATATTTTATCTAGGGTTTTCAGCTACAAAACTCATAGCTTTAAATCCACCATGAAATTGTGTTCTTAAAATAACACAAACTTAATTCAGGAAGAATTTGCGAATGAAACTATGCGAATTATAAATTACCTGTATGAATTTCTGAAGGTTCATCTTTAGCTTCAATTCTTGATCGCAATTCTGAGGTAGATCTTGTACGAACTGAACTTGAATTTGTAAGGCGTGTAGGAGCTCCACCATCACTAGCTTTACGAAGCTGTTGGCAATAATCCGGACGAGTAGTTACTGGTCTTGTAGCAGTTGATTTTGATCTTGCTAAACGAGCTTTTAAAGGCACAAGTTGCGGACTAGGTGGTGGAGGAGGTAGAGGTGGAGGTTGGGGTGGGGAAAGAGTACGCCGCCCTCTTGGAGACATTGCGTTGAAGCCACTCACTCCAGGACGAGAAGTGGTTGAAATCCATACTGGGGTTTGATGTATATTGCTGTTTTTTGTCAGAACTGTTTGACGTGGATATACAATACCTTTTTTTCCAAAGTCAGCCCTTTGGGAGGGATATTCACATCCCCCAAGGGGTTGACAAGCAATCGTTGAACCCGTCGGTGTGGATAACTCTTTGATTACTCTTGGTTTTGACATAAAAGATGAATACTGATGTAAGGGTTTTTTAAAACGTCTCTGTTCGGTCGATCATGTGCAACATATCATCAGATATATTTTTATATGAATGCTAATTCTGGGTAAGGCACCTACGAAAAAAACCATTTGAACAAAATATAAGTGCTGAATAAAATATTCTTTTTACGGCTACAACTTAATTAAAAGTGTATAGTTGCTTGTTTATTTCAATATAGTACAGCATATAGTGTTACGAAGTCAAAAATATTATCTCAAAGTAATATTATGGTTAACAGGTTGGGCTTTTAACGCAATACTAAGGGTTCTGAGTTCGATTTCTGGCCTCGCCGTTAAAAGTGCACAGTCCTAGACAGTCCCACACGTAAAAACGGCCATCAAGTGCTTCTAGGTCGTCTAACTTGGGACGGGTTGTGATATCAATAAAGCTTTAGACTGAAAGACTGTCAATATAGAAAGTTCAGGCACAAAAAACATCCTAGTAATGCAATATTTCCGCAAAAGTCAAAAAAAGATTACACTTAAATTAAAAAGCTAACTAAAATTTGTTTTCGTTTCCTTCTCAATGAGGAAAAACCTTGACAACCGTACAAAATACGAGTCACGCATTTAAATTTCATATTTTGATTAAACCAATACTATCGTCCACTAAGAGGAAGCTTATGTTCACTTAGACGAATTCAACAAACTTTATAAGTTGAAACATATTGTTGACTCTGATAAAAACACTAAACTATAGTAAGCGTTTTGTAAGGAAAAACATTTTATCACTGTGAATATTCCCCCGTGGAATGTTTAAAAAAGCTGTAAATTTAGGATAATAGAGCTTATAACCTTATGTCAGCTATGAATAAAAGATAGTTTTGAAACATTAACATTACATTTTGAAACCCAAAAAGTGATCCTAACCACAACAAAATGGAGTTGATTGTAACTTAAGCTTTTACAGCAATTTGCCCTTTTTAAACTGGCTTAGTGATCTGTTGCATTCGTTGTCATTCCTGATACCTTTCGGGATCACGGACACAGAGAAATCTTATTTTTCCGGGACCCTATTGAGCTTACAATAATTTTACTGTTCATCAGTAGTTCATAAATCATTGTGTAGGACTTCATATTTGACTTTGCTTGTCAGTGTGGGGAGCCAAATACTTTCTTTTCTACTTAGAAAGCAATCCAATGTGATGGTTGTAACAATTAGTTCCATAAAATGTACACGTGCATAACACCCGGAGTATATAAAAGATTTTCGAGAACTATCTCATTATATCTGTATGTTGGGCAGTTATAACAAGTATCTGTTGATCTGAAAAGCTAGAGGTCTTTTCTTCACAGTACAAAATACTCAATGTATCAGTACTAGTGATTTTAATGCATGTAATGAAGAATATACTACTGTGGTAAGTGCAACTATAGGGAGGATAACGAAAACTTCTACTGCAAAGCATGGTCTCAAATGAGGCAGAAGAAAAAAAACGTTTAACTTTTATAAAATTTAGTGAACACTATAGTGTATACCTATGCAATATAATAACAAACAGTAAACCAACAATATAAAGTACTTTCAAATAACAAAGTGCCATGATGTACATTACAGGTAAGCATGGCCCCCGTAAGATGTAAAAAATTATGAGCGAACATTTCAACATTTATATCCCAAGAGAATCCTTGAAAAGCAGGGAAGAAAAAGGAAGTAAGTTGGAAATCACCAAGGTTACATACATGACTCTAGTTACGTATGAAAACTAGACGATCGTTTGGAGTTCATAATAGACGGAACTCAAGAAAAGGTGGAATACTTTCCTCATGAACTCTAAAGGAGAGATAGAATAATTTACATTTCTTATATACTACTCAATCCAAAAAATGTAGTAACTAAACAAAATAATCTGGCTCAATGCTATAACTAATCGAGGAACCTGAATAAACATTTGTGTGAATCGTCGTATGTCAAATACACGATATTAAGTGCAGTAAAATCTACATTCATAACAACGAAAAATAAACTTACTAAACTACCACACCAAAGCCCGGGATACTCAAAAAGACGCTCAAAGAGTATCCATAAAACGAAATTTGACAAAGTGAAACAAATCATGTGTTTTGTTTCACTCTTTAACAAAAAGTTTAAAGTGCTTACCAATTCTTTATTGAAGCTTTTTGTTAACAGAATAATAACTTTTTAACTTACTATCGTTAACCATTCTCATTGAGTAGAAATATCTACCTCGACCTGATATTAACATATTACATGACGCCATATATTATACATGAAGATCTTAAAATCCTAAACCAGAGGCATTAAAATAAATGAACTGAAAATTTCGATCTCTTAACCATACAAATTCTCCATAATTAATACAAAATGCTAATCAATAAATCACGATTTAATTACTTTCATTGTGTTATACCTCAGTACATTGACTGCTGGGTCGTGTTTGCAAATAGCGGCAAAATCGTCGTTGATCTTCGGCCTCACAAGTCAAAGGAAATTCTAAGTAGCTTATATTTATATAAATCTCCGGGTCTACTTTGGTTCCCTCCTAATTTCAACAATAGTCCTACATCCAAAAGCAAGCTACCCTCTCAATGAAAAATAATGTCGTCATCCAGGTATCCAATACGGTCATCTAGTTGGAAAAACTTATAACTAGTTCCCTAAGCAATCAATTGCTCGGTGGCTGCGTGCATTCTGGTTTAGAGAATGATCATCTCAGGTAGATCTGCTAATCACCTGCAATGGAATTACTTTGCTACTCTAGTACAACCAGTGTTCCCCCAAAATAACCAAAGCCAGAATGTTTGCAAAAAATTGGAACTCAAAGGGACTGGGATTGAAAACGAACCTCACTCAGTGAATATGGAAGAAACTTGTTCAGTAAAAATGAATAACGATAGAACATGATCATGTTGTAAAATAATCCTCATACTCCCTCGCATCCTATGAGAGCACCAATACAATTTAGTACTTGAGTACACTAAATGAAAACATTCCTTTAAAACTGAACATGAACGAGCACGAAGTGATAGTCGAGGCGCCTTGTGCAGGATGTTTCGAACGTTAACAGAATAAGTGGATTGGCAGACATGAACAATGTTTTATCTAACCATGTTTTGTCAATTCAATCTCTATGAATTCGATGTGGCTCAATATTTTTTGGCAGGTTTATGGCAAATATTCAGCAGAAGTACGTTAAATTCATTGAAAATTTATGTTATAGACGTTTATGTGTCCCAAGAGCTTTGTGACGTAATTCATGCACCTGGCTGTAAAATATCTATTGAAAGTTGATTGTCATCATTTTTACTAAGCAAATAGTTTTGTAACGTCCAGTCTGGTTATTTTTTCCGCCACAATAACTATAGCGGACATTTAATGGTCTCTTGATATCGGGATAAATCTTCATTCAACTCAATGGTTGGATCTTAAGGGGCAGAATGCCTATCTCTTTCTTAAGTTTCGTAAGTAATAAAGTTGGCTATTATGAACGCCATCCAACAGTTATTCCTAGGATTTTAAGTTTGTTTCTTTTACCGTTTGGCTTCACAAATTCAATGATTAGAGTTTTACCGTCTAAGAGTTGAGATTTCTCTCTTATCAGTAGGACAAAAGTCGACAGGAGAAAACGATTCGCTAGTTCTCTCGAATAAGGCTTGCAATTTGAACTTTAATATTTTTCTCTTAGTGTTAGAGACTACTCAAAATAACCAGTTTCTTAAAAGATTGACATTATAGTTGGCCGTATCAATTTTTAAAGGCACTCCATCAAGTATCATGACCAAATCGCATCATCATCAGACGTTATACGCTTTATCTTCACTACAGGTCACAGTTTGTTATAAGTGTTCACTCCTTCTTCCCACAAATGCATATCATGTGGTCGATAAAGCCTTTTGTTTGTCTTCAGGAGATATTACTGACAAATACACTATGCCAGAATCTTCAGATTCTATCGTTACGCTTTGCTTTGCACATATTGTTTTATGAGTTCCCTTGAAGATAATTTTACCATCGACTATTTACTGTCTTCAAACCATCATACTCGTAATAATAATAAGTTATTCTCATATAAAAGTCTGTTACATGAGGCATTCAAGTTCATATGGAAGATACAGTCTTCGCTGTGGTGAGTTACCCAGTTAGTTTGATATTTTACAAGGTACATTTATCATGAAAGAATGGGGATAAAACTTTTCACATATGGATGCAAACAATATCGGTAAGATCTGTGTTGTCAATGTGATGGCGCGCTTTATGTAGGTTGCGCCGCGATGCGCAACTGATAGTCGGAAGTAAATCCATTTAAACTTCAAAGCTTCTATAAACAGTGAGCTTACATCCCTCTGGAACATCTGAGGCATTATTAATGGCGCAGGACGAAGCCACACATCCCATTTGCGTCATCCGTGTCATATCTTGAGGGGAATGAAAGAGGTAGTAAGCAAAAAGGGACGAGAAGCATAACGGACAATGTTCATGTATACTGAAATTGAGTCATTTGTGGTGAAATAGTAAAGGTATGAATACTTAGTCTGGTTCTATATTATTAATGTACTTTTGAAGCAAGAGCATTCTGATAGGTTAGAGAAAAAAAGCGTATATATTGTATGACTGGAAAAAGAACTGTATAAATTGACGTGGTTCAAAAAGAAGCTGAAACTGTAGGATTATGTGAAGTTTTAAAATATAAAACCGGAAACAGTATTCTGATACACAAATGACTAGCTCCCGTTTTTGTCGAAACTATTTTAGTTCATTTTATATTTTCATAGATTTTATAGAGTCATGAGCAGGTCTATTTCTCAGCGAATTGTCTAGTTTTGCATGTACTAAGATTACTCAATAAAAGTGAAACCAATTCAGCGTCACAAACACGATTTAATGAAGTATTTTTTATGGTGATTCAGCATCAATACCATTTGTTTGTGGCATCCCACGTCACCGTAAGGAGCCGTAATTTAACAAAATGTTCTGCCCAACAGACATATGTGGATCGAAGTTATCTATTCATCACACCAACCTCCCTCCTTTTGTTATGTTAACCTCTCCTACGTTTATGGTGCGTAAGAAAATTGCTTAATTCTAAGCCCTTTGGTGGAATACACTATCGCTGCTAGTTCCGTTTTACAAGCAAACTAGATGGCTAAAGCCTTTGTAATGTGGGTTAGACATCCGTTTGGTATACCACAGTGCTGTGAAGATAACTAATGGTATAAGTTAAAAATACTGGTTAGATCGTAAGTTCCATTTTGATGGTTTCGTTTGATAAAACCCTTCCATGTATACATTTGGAATTTAATCCTTTTGATTTCTTCAGTTGTACATATTCTTTGTCTATTTGATTTTATTTGAGATGGTAATCTTTGCATTTAATTATAGTTTTTCTTTTTCCTACGCCTTCATGAAGTTTCCATGCATTTATGTTGTTTTAGTCGACAGTTAGTTCTGTTGGGAAGCAATATTGATTTGTCCCCCCCCCACTTTGGTTGTGTTACCCACATTGACTGGAATTGTGCATTGGAATTGAGGCACTCTTCCAGAATTAAAAACACTGTGTTGTAAAGCAACCGAATATTATTTTTCGAACAAATCTGTACGTGATCTGTCCAGAAAGAATAGAATAACATTTGTTGAGCTTGGTAATTTTCTTACATCCTTTATTAACTTGTTTATTTATTGCAATTTAGATTCGACTAATGATTGAAAAATTCCTAGTTCAATAACTGGATGGTAATATTTGTTTACGTAATAATGTATATTTATATTTATAATGAAATCTAGGACTGTCATTTACCCTGAAAATGACACAGGTATTCAGTGTTTGACAACGCTTTCATCAGCAACACCTAATATAATTTGTACTCACTGAGAGAAGTTAAAAGACAGAGTCGAAGAGATCGGAAGAGTGTATTTGGCGATTACCAATATATCGTAATTCTCTGATCTTATCTGGCTAGCGATTGCGGCAGATGTTGTGCACAGCGTTACCACACGTGGTCTGGTGCGGATGCATGACCTAGCGCCTTCAGCTAGATGAGTCCACGAAAACATATGGTCAGCATCCAATGTCGAAAACTTACAGAGCTATTTATTTTGGGGATTTGTTTACCGCTACAGATCACCCCCCCCCCCTTAGTGTGTCAGTGACGACCCTAAGACGTGGCCAGCCAGAAGTTTAAACTCAACGAGTTTGTCGTTGGTAAACACGCTTCTGATAGCTTACTAAGTTTAGCAGCGTCTGGTCGTTTTTCCTTACTATATGGGACCGAGGTAAAACATAGTAAAAAAAGAAAAAATTACAACGAAAATTTCGACTCCTCGTAAACTCCACCGTTCTTTTCCAGCCGTCCTGGAAAAGAAAGAAGAAAATGTAAGTGCATGTCAAAATACACTCGTATGTGCGTAAAAACACAATGTCGGCGAAAAAATAGAAAATAAACTCAAGCACACGTAATAGCATTAAAAAAATAATTTTTTGCTTTTTTGTTTTTTTCAGATAAAAATATAAATATGTAAGCATAGTAAAATTGTTTTTTTTATATATTGTATTATATATTATATATCGTAAAAAGAAAGATCGAGATAATATAAAATGTCGAGTAGTGCCTTACGTGCAGTAGTCGTTTAAATGTTCTGGAAATCTTACTCTTCTTCCAGAACGCGTCGTTTTAGATTTATTTTCAGATGAATTCGGAGTATCATCTCTAGTGTTGGTTGTCGTTTGAGGAATGATGAGTGTAGGAGTCGTGTTGTGTGATTGTACCGAAGGAAAGTCGACGTGAATAGAATTTCCTTCTAAATACACTGCTTTGAGGCGATCAATGCTGATGCTATTGTTGGTTCCATTCTTATCGACTATATAGTACTTAGATTCACGTTGAAGAATTTCGAAAAGTCCTTCGTATGCTGATTCGAAAGGTCGTCGATGTGAGTCTTGACGAACGAAAACGTGTGTACTATATCGTAAGTCAGGTTGAACGAAAACATCGGTTGATAGTGGTCGAGTGGAAGCGGGTTTGACTGAACGCATTGCGTTTGTAAGCCTGTTCTTGTAGGAGGTCAGATCCATGCTCATTGAAGAGGAT